CTCCCACTCCCCACCCCGCAGCAAATCTTGTAGCGGCTTCCGAGCTTGCGGCCAAGATGCGCGCCCACAAATCCCCCACACACACACACTCCGCAAAGGGACGCCTGCTCTGCTGCAGCCCCCAGAACCGCCCCGAGTGTTTCCCAACCAGCGCTTGCAAACGACCAAGAAGAGCCACGCACCGACACGGCAGCTGCACCCCAGACCAAAGGCGGGGAGCAAACTTCGCCGGACTTCAACGGACACCCGGGCATCCGAACCACCGGGGGGTGGGGGTGGGGAGAAACGACACTCCCTTCCCGCTGCCCCCGCAACAGGCTTCTCCTCAAGGAGGTTCTGGGGCAATATTGATACCTCCGACAGCCACTCCGCGCACTCCCCTGAGGCTAGCCAAAGGTGAGCCCACCAACGACTGACCTCGTTGTTTTTTTCCCCTCTCCCGCCTCTCACCTCAATGAGCTGGACGTAGCTGGCCGGGAACCAGCCCCTCAGCCCTTCGGCCGTCTCCCCTTCCCACCAGCCGCCGTCGGGCCCCGCCTGGAGGACGGTGAGCAGCTCGCCCGCAGCGAAGCGCAGTCCGTGCCGATGTCGCTCCCCGGAGAAGGGGTAGAGGGTTCTGCAACGCGCCCCCAGCACAGGCAACACCCGCTCCTGCCCGGGCGGTGGCATCACACAGCAGCCCCAAGCGACTTGCTCAAGAAACTCGGCTCTAGCCGCCACAGGTGCCGAGCTGATCCGCCTCTGGCTTGCCGGGAGTCCGCCTGCTTCTCTCTCGACGCTCCCCAGTCAGCCCAACTGGCGGATTGGCCGCCTCGCTTCCCCGCGCCGCCCCCTGGGACAGGCGGACCGCGGCTCCGCGCCCGCCCTCATACTCGCTCGCTCGCTCACTCATACACGCAATTCTCGCTCTCGCTCTCTCACACTCACACACGAGCCAAAGTGGGCCCTCCCCGCTCGGCTGAGATTGCAATCTGGGAGAGGTGGGGTGCGGGGGAACGAGACGCAAAAGGAGGACGGAGGCGAGATGCGGCGGATCGGGAGCGCCTTCTCACCGCAAGTTTGGCTTCCCCGCCCCCGAAGCAGAAAGAGGCTTTCATTTCGTCAAAAGGAACCTGGCGTCGGATTCGACGCAAAACGTTCTACAGTAGGAGGCAATCTATGCATCCACTGGGCTTTCATTCAGCCAAGGCGTGTTTGTTTGGTACAGGTGCGCGAGAGAGAGGCAGGCAAAGCCTGGTGCCCATCGATTCAGTTTTACTCTCAGCCATATGTGCTGGCGAAATAGCAAAAAAATAAAAATAATAATAAATCCGTCCCTCCCTGCAAAGTGTTCGGTTGAAACAGGCAATTGAATAAACCCTCTTTCAGCAAAAAGACACCTGTAAAACAATTGTTCTATTCTACTAGAGGAGAAAAACTAAAATGCCATTAAAACATAGAAAGATTACAGCCGATTAGTGGCTTAAGAAATGCTAGATAAATCATCACCACCACCATCACTGCAAATGGAAGTTACAGGTTAGATGATGGATATAAAGTGTTTATTTAGGGACAAGTCATTTATGTTAGTAAAGGAGAGATCAGGGACAAAAATCTGCCTATGAGGTTGCTTTGATTTGATGGCACATAATCAATATATTTAATTTACAGGGCTGTCCATCTCACAATCGTAACAGTTGTCACTGGTCCGCACAACAGATTCTGTATGTGACATTTATTAGCCCAGGACAAACAAAATGTGATAATTAACACTGAAATGCAAAATATATCTCTACATCTTATTGTTACCAATATAGTGATTGTATTCACAATACACTTAGCCTGTGTCTACAATGATAACACATGATGATAAATTGTTGACTGATAGAATGTTAATATAGTTTTATGAGTTTGTTTTGGAGCAACCATATCTGGCAGTATCCCATCCACGATCAAAGTCAACATGGATGAGAAAGGTGAAGATTTGCTTCCCCTTACCTCTATTTGTCTCCGGATGTCCTCCCATATGACTGCAAGGGAAATAATAATAATAATAAAAACACAGTGAAGAAAAAAATGGTGAGACTAGAAGATCTTTAATTCTTGTGACAAGAAGTTAGAATGAAAACTTACATAGAATTTCTGGAGCCCCAGTTGGAAGTCTTTATTGGAGCCCAGTTGTGTGTGTACATATATATACATTTTTTGAAAAAAAGTGTGGATCCAGCACTGATGAAAATAGTGAGATCACCTATAACGAGTTCCCAACACCAGTCCATGGACCGGTACCGGGACCAGCATGCCAGAAACCGAGCCATACAAACAAGTGAAACCCCATCCAAGGGAATTCAGGCAGCATGTGAAACCGTGCCCCTTTTGGTCCATAGAAAATCTCTCTCCACGGAACTGATTCCTGATGCCCAAAAGGTTGGGAGCTGCTGACCTATAACCCCTGAACTTTACAAATTTGTCCATGTATACATAATGAGTGCTGAGTGCTCAGGTACGTGCTAGTAGTGACATTCACCTGATGGCACCTGAACCATCCATATTATCAATAGTTACATTCAGGCTACAAAGCACACTATAAAAAAGATGTTGAGACTCTAGAAAAAGTGCAGAGAAGAGAAACCAGGATGATTAGGGGACTGGAGACTAAACATGAAGAACGGTTACAGGAACTGGGCTTGGCTAGTCTAGTGAAGAGAAGGACCAGGGGAGACATGATAGCACTCTTCCAATATTTGAGGGGCTGCCACAGAGAGGAAGGGGTCAAGCTATTTTTCAAGGCACCCAAAGTTCAGACAAGGAATAATGGACGGAAACTGAACAGGGAGAGATTCAATCTAGAAATAAGTTTTCTGACAGAACAATCAACCAATGGAACAACTTGCCTTCGGAAGTTGTGGGAGCTTCACCAATGGAGGCTTTCAAGAAGAGATTGGACTGCAATTTGTTGGAGTTGGTGTAGGGTCCCCTGCTTGGGTGGAGGTTTGGACTGGATGACCTACAAGGTCCCTTGAATCTAAACCTAATGGGATCTTGGCTATCAATAGGCAAGCTTTGGAGACTCAGAGGGAAGAATGTTTTAAATTAAATGTTCACAAATCGTAAATTGCATGCTTTGAGAGGGAGATTACTTTTTTTAAGCTGATCAAGTTTGATCAGGCAAAGCTGGAATGCTGTCCAAACTGACTGCTCACTTGTGTTCTTGCAATCTAGTGATTAGGAGTTAGGAGTTCAAAGAGACCAAACTCATTGGTAGCTTCACACTGTCCAAACTTGCTTCCATTCAGTGGGACAAAGAGCGGCAAAGTTTGATGTGAGTTGTGTTAGCATAAACAAAGTGGAAATCCTGCCAATCCTGTCTTGCTTTGCTTGGGGAAGCCAGAAATAATCCTAGAGTGAGTTTTGAGAGAGATGCTAAACCCAAAGGCCTAAGCCATATGTCAAAATTATCCACCAATCACAACAATAATGTAACCAACAGATGGTCTTCCATTGGCTGGTAACTTCGAGCATGGCATATGGTAGAATGTCTATGGCTTTATAGAATGTATGTGTGCATTTTAGTGATGGTTGTTAAATTGTTCATCCTTCTAAATGGGAAAAAGAGTAAGTACAAAGCTAAATATGACCAATCTAAAGGCAATGGCCCAGCACAGTCAAAATAAATGTAAATCAAGTACATGGAATTTGCATATCTTTTAGTAAATGTTAAACTTGCTCATCTCAAATCCCAATGTAATTACTAGTTTTATCATGGGGATTACAAATGAGTTGATAATTTTAGGAAAGTCATGGTACTGTAGTTTGAAAATCCCTGTTCCAAATCATGCTAAAATTCATTTATTTGAAACATTTGTATACTTGCCCATCTTTCAACTAACTCTCAGGGATTCCTAATCAAAAATTAAAAGACAATAATATTTTATAACTCAATAAAAATGTTAAACAAGAAAAATTAAAAGATGTATAAAATGATATGAAAACTATAAAACTCAACTGATTAAAACTAAAAACAACAAAAACCTGGCACCAAGATCCTGATGGAGTTTCTTTTTGTGCAAGACCTACACGTATATTATTCCAACACTATTACTAAAGCAACACATTACAGAATATGACAGTATGCCAATGTTGCTATAATATGATAACATCGTAGGCAGATATGCCAAGGCAAATGTTTTAGATCAGTGAGTAAGAAAGATAAATGGGGCAGGTCAGAACATTTCTTTCATAAAGGCACACTTTTATTTCTTTAACAAAGTTTTCTATTAGGTAAAGTATACCTTTACCTACCCTCCATCAATGAGCTGCTGGATTTAGCCCTACAAGAATAAAGTGACTATTCATAAGCTTGAAATGAAAATATTGGTGTGCACTGCTCTTGCTTTGAAGTGTTATCATGATGATAGGCTTATATCACTGTGAATTAGGTAACTTGAACTGATGAAACTGATAAGTAATTTATGAGGAGATGGGAAATCAATTTCTATACTCATTATTGGGTTTTTAAATTTTGCATTGTTATTGCAGACCTTCAAGACATAAATCCTAATTTACCAGTTGTCATTATCCTGTAACGAGGATGACTCAGAATGACAGTAAAGTGTGAAGCCTTTGGACAAAAGAGGACTTTTTTTTAATTTGGGCCATGCATGTTTAATTTAATGTCTGATCAGTTTTACTGTCTGTGCTTTTAAAAGTCAGTATCTTGCACATATCATTCCAATATAAGCTGAAGGACCCACATTAGGCAGAGATCAGTTTCAGCTAAACATGCATACTTTCTCCAAAAGGCAGAAAATATGGAAGTCATAAACCTATATAACAAATAAGCAACAAAGTCAGGTAGTCCTCAACTTGCAACAGTTCGTTTAGTGACCATTCAAAGTTACAATGGCACTGAAAAATGTGACTTACAACTGCTTTTCCTAATGACGATCTTTGCACCATCCCTATGATCATGTGAACAAAATGCAAATATTTGGGCAACTGGTTCATATTTATGACCTTTGCTGTGTCTTAAAGTCATGTCATCACCTTTTGCGACTTTCTGACAAGCAAAGTCAATGGGGAAGCCAGATTCACTTAACAACCAGATTGCTAACCTATCAACTGCAATGATTCACTTAACAACTGTCGCAAGAAAAGCCATAAAATGGGGCAAAACTCACATAACAAATGTCTCATTTAATAACAGAAATTTTGGGTTCACTTATAAGAGCAATCCAGAAGTAATCCATTTCCCCTCTAATTAATGTGTGGGTATTTTCTGTTGTATTGATAGTTTTGGTACTAATTTACCAAAATACTGCAGCACACACTTAATTATTTAAACTGGAGCTTCCTGGACAGATTTAAGGAACAACTTCCCTTTAATTTCAGTTGATTGAAAGTAACTGCTAGTTGTCTCAGACTGATTATTCAGGATCATTAGGAAAAATGGGTGTTTGCGGAAAAGTCCATGTCCCTAATGATATAAGCAAGGAAGCCCTGCTGGATAAGGCCAAAGGTTCTTCCGGTCCATCAACCTGTTTCCTGCAATAACTTTCTAAGTTCATCAAAGAAATGCCACCATAGGTTGTTGTTGTTTTACCTGCACCTTTTCCAGTTCTGTGATATCCTTCTTGAAAACAGATTTTGTATTGCTGCAGAATTGCAAGTGTAAACTCAATTCCAATTTGTTTTATAATGTCATGATATTGGCAGTTCCATTTCCAACTCTAATGAACTATAGATTCAAAGTTGTCCCACAGTGTTTTCATTGAAATGACCACAAAGCA